TGAAGGCTGGGTGTTGCAGCCTACACCGTGGCATCCGGCCAGGGCAACGTATCCACTCCCTTCCTGGGCCTGCGCGGGCAGACCTCCCTGTGACTTTGGTGGGAAACAGATGGGGCACTATCCCAAGGTGATTAATGACTCTTTGGCTTCGTTTGCAGCCATGAGATCCTGGGCACTGCACAAACACCCAAGAAAGCCATGCCCAGAGAACTCACACCCTGAGATCGCAAACAAAAGAGGTAACCATTGGAAGCCCTGCACAAAGCAGCTTAGGTGTCTACACAGGTATGGGACACAAACCAGGATGTCCTGGAGTGCCAGGGTGATGACAGCATTGCTCCTCCTGTGCAGCGCTGAGCCCTCCAGAAGGCACCCCATCAGAAATATGACAGCACACTGCAGTGACACACAGACAGGGACAAATCAGGAAACCTGCTTCCCCCAGTGCCGAAGTGTCACACCAAGTCCTGCTCCCACAGGGCAGACACAACAGCAAAGCTGGACTCCCACCTGCAGCCCACCCTGTGACTTCCAGCCATTGCTGCTTGTAGAGGTTTTCTTCTACTACATGAACTTTGGACCATTTTCAAAGAAGAGTAAGTCATAAAAAAGGGCAAGTTCTTGCAGGCAGGCTATTGTGTCACACAGACCAAGGCCTACTCAAGTCCAGAGTGCAACCTGGTTAAACATCACTTACTTTTTATCTTGCAGTTATAACATTCAAATATTTGCCTGTGAGTTCTGCATCAGCAATAATGAGCCATTCTCAGAGCAGCTGCTTCTCTGTGCAAGCAAAACCAAGGCATCCTTAAAAACAGGAGTGTGTGGCTGAAGCAGAAACTAATGCTGCCTTGAAGCTGAGTTTCCATGGAAAGGAAGGGGACAGTCTATGCAAGGAGCAGAGCTGCAGCTGAGAACATGATGAACCAGCTATCTTCTGTTTCCCTCTTCCCTCCTGTGTAACCAGGTCCCAATGCAACCTTCTCCCCCTAAGTGTCCAGCAGCCTTTTCTGCAGAGCAATCCCTTGCAGCACAGGGCACAGCATGGAGGGAGATCTGAATTCTGTGGTCACAGCATGTGGTGGCAGGAACCCTCTTGGCTCTGGTCACCACAAAGACTTCCTGGAGACCTGGTCAACAGAGAGGAAGTGGGCAGGGAGAAGCAGGAGGACAGATTTGCAGCAAGCGTTGCCTTTTCCTTGCATTCTGTGTATGTACCTACTACAGGAGAGTCTTTCACTTGAACTCCTAGGGACACATGGATTAATGTGGCAAAGTGACTCAAGAATGATTCCTCTAAATAGTGTTACAGTACAAATGCTAGAGGACAACACTTTGAGGTTTCCATGATTTTCTATGTCGTAGTTACGCAAGCATCCCTTTTACCATCTGTACTGGTTCTTGCCCAGCTGTCAAGTTACATCCCACTTTTCTGAGCTTGAGGGTAATAGACAGTGATGGGCAATAGAAACAAAAGAAAGATGCTTAGAGATGTAGTTAATCTCTGCTTGACCTTTTTATTCGGGTTTTTCTCCTCCTGACACAGTATGAAGAACGCACTGTGACCTAGATGACATCAGTCAGTACCCTCCAGATGTCTGATAAGCTTTGAATTCTACCAGCTTGTGAAATGTGGCCAAGGTTTGTTTTGGTCCTGTTGGTGGGAAAGAAGAAATCACATCAGGCAGATGATGCTTAACATGAAAAGAGAAGTGGGACAGATTTCTTAAATTGTGGGTTGATGTAGTTTTACATACATCATATTCTGTTGATATGAGGTGCTGTAAGATTTTTCACATGTTCTGGGGGAAACTGCAGAACAATGAAAGCCTTGCCAGTGTTCCTCACAGGAACCATTGCTGTATGGGAATTTTTACAAATTAACTAATTGAATTACAGTAGCTTTGAAGCCCACTCTGTTAATGGTAGAATAAATCCAGGAGTTTAGATTAAATATTGTAGAAGTTTTGCTCTACTGAATGATTCCTTTGGCCTTGTCCAGAGCAGGAATAATAGACCAGGAGAGCCCAAGGTGTAACGCAGTATAGTAATGGTTACATTCTTTTTTTCCCCCCTCTCTTATCATACAGACTGTGCATTTTAGGAAGTTAGAGAAAAATCTATATTTTGGGCAAAATTTTCCTATATTGTAAAGAATTCCAGATGCTTGCAATGAGCAAACTTTATCTATGAAGTGAATGTTACAGAGCAGTGGAAGGATCATGCCACAAAGGAGGAGATGAATCTGTGGTGCAACTGATTTATTGCACATCTGCAAATGCACATTCTCAGAGACTTTGACTTCCATCTGATAGTCACACTGATACTCTTTACTGGTATAAAGCAAGGAAAGGGATGTGACAGGTCTGTGCGAAGAAAGCTGAGCAGATCATGCCCCAGAAGGCAAAATACCCCTGACAGGTGTCCACAACGAATCACTTGGAAAGATCATCTTGTGGTTGAAGCACAAGATAAGCAGGGCTGAGCTCTGCTCCCAGAAGTTCTGCTCCACGCTTGGTGTGTGACATTGAGCAGGTCACGAATTCTCTGTTCCCATTTCCTCTTTGGTGAAAATGATGACAATGATCATGTCTATTCTCAGCAGAATTATGAGTGAGTATGCAATAACTTACAAATGCTTCTTATTCTTTGCAGGAAATACATTGCAAATATCACCGTTCGAGCACTATTACACCAGTTACTATTACAGCACTATTAACCAGTCTAAACTAGCACAAATGCATTAGAAAAACCTCCACCCTCCCACAGAGGGAGGTATTTTCTCATTTGTTCCATCAGAAAGCATCAGTCTCCTAAGAAACCACTGCCCAAATCAGTCAGACAAATGAGGAGAAACTGAAAGGCTGCTCCAGAGCAACACCGCTCTAAGCTTGCCTTTCACATTCTTGTAGGTTCTGCTCACTGTTGAAGCAGAGTATTAAATTAATGGGCTCTTTGATAAGTTATGTTTTATCCTTATCCTTACACTACAGCTTTCCTGGAGCTTCCTGCAGTTTTGTGCTGCTACTTGTCCAAAGCAACGGCGATGCAAAGTTGCACCCTGTACAAACACAGACTCATAATTTAGCACGTGTTGGACTCAGTGGAAAGACTTTACACATCAGCCCAAAATAAATACAAGTTCCTTGTTCTGTGTCCTGTGAAAGGCTATGAATCAAGAGTGAGAAATGATGAGGAGCTCTGGCTCCTACATCAGGGCACCTGAAACATGCCGGCAGCTATACCACAGAAATCTGAATTTCCAAGGTTTGGTCAAAAGCCGAGCCGGTTCCAGGCAATAAGGATATTACAAAGGGAAAAACTGCACTAAACCCAAATGGCTCCAGAAGGGAGCAGGCATGTAATGGTTAGTGACCTGAAGCAAAGGTATGAAGAGCGTTGAGGTCTGCTCTTCCTGCTGCATTGATCAGTCCTGAGCACCAGGGCAGGAAAAAGGAGAGACACAGGGGATAGATACCAAGGGACAGGACAAACCATCTGAAAGCTGTGATGTAAAAGTCACTTTTGAAATTTGCAAACTCATGCAGACACATATGGAGGACACCTGGAAAGCAGCGATTTCAGAGAAGCCTGAGAGTGAGGGTGGACAAAACAAAACGTATGTTTTAGAGGGGAAAAAAAGGCCTGTGTGGTTTTAGGCAACATATTTAGGACCAGGGATCCAAAGGAAAGGCTCTCAGGACTGTGCGGTCAGACATTAAATTGTAAGCTGTAGACAGCAGAGGGTTTTCTGTTTTGGTTTGGGTTTTTTATCTTTTTTTTTTCTTTCCTTGAAGCTGCACCTTGCTCTCAGGGAACCCAGCCATGGCCCGGTTACAGCCCCATGTTGAGGGAAGCACTTTAAGTTACATAACTTATCAGGAATAATGAGACACAGAAAAATACCAGAAGTTCAGACGAAAGAAATACAAATAGCAGAGAGGCTGCCAAATATTGATTAATGAAGGAAACAAAGTGTAAATAAAGGGTAGCATGGTATTTGTAAATCCTGCCAGTCTAGAAGGGTCTAAATAATCGGAAGGCAGAAGGATAATTTTTAAGCTGTATAACTAGAAAGAGCAAAGCAAGCTTCTGCCGATGTGAGCTGCTGGAGCAAACGCGATGTACGCCATTCACATGGCTGAGGAAGAGCTGGCTGTAGAGAATGGTCTTTCCGACAGCAGGGGAAGACCAGCCACGATCCCGAGCGCGCCGCGCTGACCAGCAGCCACCGGGCATCGCCCAGAGCTGCGACCAGAGCACGCTGTGTTTGCAAACAACCGCAGAGCCAAACCTCGCTCAGATCTTCCCCCGTCAGAGGAAAGGGCTGCCCCTGGGGGCAGCTGACCTGGCACCGGGGTTGGGCTCCTGGCTGTGCCACGAGCAGCACATCAGCCTCCGAGCGACTTATGTGGCCGCCCTGAGCCTCAGCCTCCCACTCGCGGGCCTGGGGTGACAAGGGCGTCCCACGGCCCGGGGCCAACACGTGGGACGGCGGGATGGCCAGAGCTGGGGGGATTCATCCCGGCGGGGAAGCTGGAAAGCTGAGCCCGGGCTGCGAAAACCCCGCGTCCCACACCTGAAGAACAAGTGTGCCCACGCTCTCTCGAATAAATCTGTTCGGTAGGGTGGAGTCCGCCTTATTTTTACTCTACATGCAAATTATATCCCTCAACAACCTCACTGCAAATATTTTCTGGTTTCTCACACCCTGCCCTGGGCAGAAACAGGCTGTTTTCCCTGCAGATCCCCTGGCTTCCTTTGCAACTTTGGGTTTGGACTACTCTGATTTTACAGAAGCGAGAGAAGCTTATGAGTTGCTGGGATAAAAACAAAACCAAAACCCAGAGGAGCGGAGCGGGGAGCGAGGCAGGCGAAGCTGTTGTGCCCAGCCCCGCGGGCTCCCACCTCGCCGATCATTCCGAGCAGCGGGACGAGCAAACCAAGCCTGCGGGAGGGATGCGACACCCACCTCCCCCTCGGCCGGCTCCCAGCCTTACCTGCTTGCCAGCGGCAGCGAGGCACAGGAGAAGGAGCCAGCAGCCTGACGGGACGGGCATGTCTGTGTGTCCGTCTCTGCCTCCTCCCGTGGCTCCTTTTCCTGCCACCGAAGGGAAACTAGATTCTTCCAGCCAAGCCCCCGCGCCCCGGCAGCGCTGCGAGGCACATTTGAGCTGACTACTTCTCTTTCTTCCTTTCCTTCCTCTCAGCTACACGAGGGGAGAAGACAGAAGAAGAAGAAGAGAAAGAAAAAAAAAAAAAAAAAAAAAAAAAAAAAAAAAGGCGCCTGGCTGTAGTTCCCACAGCATTTCCTCAGCCTTGACATGCAGGGCTCTCTTTTTTCTTTTTTTCCTCGCTTCTTGTCCCTCCCTTTCCTTTCTCCACCCCTTTTTACAAGAAGTTTAGTCACCGTGCCCACGTTCCTCCTCCGGTCGGGGCTTGCATTCCCGGTCAGTCCCTGCCGGCCGGGCCGTGCCTCCACCTGCCCCCAGCCCCTTCCCTCGCTGTCCTCTCCCCTGGAATCGCTGCCTTCTCCTCACGCCCCTGGTATCGCCTGACACTGCCAGAGGACATCTTGGGCCTCAGGCAGCCTCCCACCTCGCCCCCCGTCCGCCCTGGCTGTGCCCCCGGCCCTGAGGAAAGCTCCTGTCCCCTCTCGCTGCCCGGGCAGCATGTGGAGGCCA